GGCATAGTGCTATCCTAATGGCCTCTATTTCTCCTTCGAAAGCGGATCTATTGTGTCCCACTGCTGCGTAGAAAGAGAAGAGTTCAGAATAGACACCTGTTCCAACGTTTGCTTAGTTTTCTACGTATGACCCATCAGTGAAGACTTGGAGCCATTGATCTGTTGGATAGTTGACATTGATTGTCTCAAGGGCCAGTGAGTGTATTTGCTCTGGAGGGGTGTTTGATTTCCTGAAGAAGTCAAGGAGTTGGGTGCAACATACTACATCAGTGTCTGCTAATGGGTTCATGGGGAGAGAGAGGCTTTTTGGTTTGTCATCGATTTGTAATTCTTTATTCAGTTCTATGGCTTTCTGAATCAGACCGGCATTTGATTTGACTTCTGTAACAAAGCATTAGTTTTGTTATCAGTAAAATTGTCATTTTTTTTCCTTTTCAGGCTTGCAGAAGGTACTTATATGGGGGGAACTGTGTTCCAGCATGTCCAACCAGGCGTATCTACAATGTTCACACTTCGTCATGGGAGCAGAATAAAGAGGGTCGATTTTCATTAGGTCACGTATGCGTCTCCCAGTGTCCAGGTTAGTGTGTGCTGTTAATATACCAATGAGTAAACACGTGTCAAAGCATTCTATCATTGGCATTTTTATGGTCTATTTCAGAAGGCTTTCTCATGGATGGTGATCACTGTGTACTTAAGTGTTCTCGGCCAGGAACACAGCAAATTCGCAATCAATGCGTTCAATGTCCGCCTTCAGGATGTCTAAAGTGTTGGTTTCTGTTTCTTTGAAACATATTCGTACTGCCTGATAGTAAGCAATAAGAGAGCTTTGAGGTGCTCGACGATCAAAGAGGTTCTAAGAATGGAAATTAGATTTTCCTGTGCCATTTGTTAATTTAACCCAAATAGTTGGTTGATCTTAGAGAATTTAGGCAATACACTGAATAGTTAGCTCAATTACATACATTTTATGCTGAAGAATTGTACGCTTTTTTTTTCGAATCGATTAGTAAGTCTTTTCCGAGCATATACCCATTTAATAAATAAATTATTTGTTAGACTCTTGCCTAATTAAAAGCCTTGTGTATTTAAATGTATTAAATTTTACGTCCAATAATAAGTTGAGTTTAAATGTAGCGCCCTATTGAAAATAACTTGACAATTTAATGTAATTAACGCCCTCCACTAATCTCTTTGCCAAGTTTATCACTCATGTCACTCTTTCTATGCTCAATTTTTTTATTTATTTCGGGCTAAGTGCCAGGAAATCAATAATAATTTTTTCTGTCACAACTACATATTTTCGCTTTTAGAGCCTTCTACTTGAGGTGTCCCTCTTTTAAGCAAATCAGCAGTTATTCCATTTGACAAATTTATATTAGCAATAAGAAAAGGCCATATAAATCAAGAGTTCATTGAAGTGCTACTGCAGTTCCCAAATCTCCGTTTTTCCTTCATTGGGATGTCGATACGCTCTGCCTTATCCCGCAGAGTATGTACATTTTACCCAAAATGACAAGTAGTGCTCATTCCATCATGAGTCTATGAGGGCATCCAGGTCTTGTCAGCTAGTTTGAACAAGCTAAATATTCAAAGATTTTTGCTCATTCAGCGGTGACTTACAACTGTAAATAATCATTAGGAAAGATCCCAGCTCTTCTACTATCTCTTTCCCATGTCTACCCAAGTTGGTTTAAGCACCAGCTGTAGATTAGCAACAATGTTCATTTTTCTTTTAAAAAATGTCCATTATCCAGATCATATCACGCTGATTTATTTTAATGGCCTTAAATTCAGACATCCTTTGCTATATCATTTATTAATATATTGTATAATTTGGCCTTCTAATAGAAACTGCAACCCCTCTGTTAATATTGTTCCACTTTTCCCATCTTCATAATTAATTTCAGCCTGCTCAGCAAAGCAATTACAACTTCCATCTGTCGATTTCTTGTACAAAAGCCTCCTCAAACAAATGGTTAATTGCACGTTCTGGGAAGGTAGTTTGATTCTAAAGAAACAATCATTTGAAGGGTGCGTTATTTCCGTATGGGCTGTTCACTTGGTGAATAGTATATGGTTCTAAAGTAGCTATTCCCTTCCGATTCCTTCAGGGACACTTTCCACAATCTTACTCAAGAAGAAGAATCTGTCACTTTTGAGGATCTGAAAAATGGTCTGGGAAATATTCAGGAGATAACTGGTATTCTCTACATTGGAACCGAATCTCTTGCGCCTTGGTTAAGGAACTTAACTTTCCTGTCAAAATTGAGACGCATCGGTGGAGGTAAGCACTGTATCTCTTTACAAGATGTTACAAAGTATGTTTCATTTTCTCTAACACTCTTTGGTGTCTATTCTAGAAGCTCCTCAGGGATACAACTCACCCTTGAAAATCCTACACAACTACTACTTGGAACACCTGGGAATTTCTTCACTGAAATTAGTTGGTGCCCATAGAGGAGTAATCCAAATTGTTCAAAATCCCAAATTGTGTTTAGCAGAAACAATAAAATGGAGGTCACTGATGTGGATGCCCGAAAGACCTACCACTGATATGACCTTGTCATTCCCTATAATTTTTCAAAACCGGCCATCCAATGAGTGCCGTAAGTTACTGCCATTCATACTCACTTTTATTGTTTATTCCAATCTTTAATTTATCCATTTACTCAGTTGCTGATAGAATCGGTTGCGATGAAAGTGTCTGTGATCTTCAACACGGTTGTTGGGGCCCTGGACCAACTAACTGCAGAGTGTGTGCTCATTGGCTTATTCAGGGTCGTGAGGAGACTGGCAGATGCGTTCTCAACTGTTCTTTGGTTGAGGGTGGATATTATCCTGTTGTAATTACAAGAACCATTAGGGCAAACAAGACTCTAAAAGCCAATTACTGCTATAAATGCCATAAAGAATGCGGAACAGCACCAGGAGCTTGTTTTGGACCCGATGCGAATCATTGTAACAATGGCTGCGCGAATGTCTTGGTATGCGGATTCTTCTTGTTACGGATTTATTTTGCTTTATTTCATTTGCCTTTCCCAATGTTCAGGATTCAGATTAAAATTTCATCTCAACACAAATTCCGAACCCACTGCCTATCAAGTAAATGTGATGTACCATCCACTGTAAATAGATAATGGGGAAATTGTGGTAATAGAATTTTGTCCATGTTCGTTTGCCATGAAGTCAAATGTGTTAATGAACATACGTTAATAAGTGGGTTGACAAGATTATGGTTGATCTAGGTCAGATTATCACTTGACCATTTTTTCCCAACTGGATAGGCAAGCTGACAAGTAAGGAAGAGCTAAATTGAATAATTATATGTAAATTAAACTTGATAATTTCGTCAACACTCCCCCCCCCTCTCCCTCTTTAAAGGATGGAGAATTTTGCAGAGCTGAGTGTCCCCTTGGGAAATTTCCAGATGGAAAGAATGTCTGCCAAGAATGCGCATCGGTGTGTACAACTCATCCACAAGGTCTCTATGACGAAACCGAATCCACTAACTGGACTGCGGTTTGCACCGGACCCGGTGATTGGTTTGGCTCAAATGGCTGTTCACATTGCGTTCAGGTTGTCTCGGCCAATAGTTTAGTCAAAGAGTCTGCATTGAAGCTGAAATGCCTTACTCCATATCAGGTTCGACTTCGGTTAGCTATGCTTTCATTGCTAAAGATGGGTGTAATAATGTATAATATTTTTGCCTTAGCATTGTCCAAATGATACATTCCTACATCTCATCAATATTCCACGAGACGAGCCAGAGGAAGAACTGCGTGCAAAAATAAGGGAGGACAATTCATTGATTCATTTTCAGAAAGGACTTCATTCTCTTCTCGGTGACTGGTTGACCGCACACCAATTACAAAGGAGTAAGATTGGGATGGTGCGTATATGCGCCCCCTGTCATTCTCAATGTTCCAATGGGTGTTCGGGCCCATCACCCAATCAGTGCACACAGTGTCGTAACGCTCGATATAATGGGATCTGTGTTGAAAAGTGCGTTGAAGGTAAGTGTGGTAAATTCTATTCGATCTTTTCAGTAATTAACTGATTTCCAGAACTCTTAAGACATCATTTATCTTAAAGGCACATACGAGACCAATGGGACACATGGAGAAATCTTGTGTCTACCCTGTCATGCTCAATGTGGATTAGGCTGCGGTGGGCCAACGGCAAGTGATTGTGACGTCTGCCGGAACTATAAAAGGTTTCTTAATGACAATAAATCAAAGGTAGATATAGCAAGCAGTATCCCTTTTACCATAAATTCATTTAGTGGATTTGCGTTGAATCCTGTCCTCCGGGTATATCTTTCCGAATTGAGCCCAATCCAAACACAAATGCAGTTGAATTTGTGTGTGTGTATGATAAAAACTTGAACAATTCACAACCTGCTGATAGGGAAAAAGTGGATCGATGTTTCTTGTGTTTTTCGTCAGAAATCATAAGTCCAGGTTTGCTTAATCGTCTATCATTGCTGTCCAAAGCTCTTTTTGCTTTCTGTGGCCTGTCGGCACTTTTCATAGCCATCTACTTCAGTTATACTTGTTCAAAAGTTGTGGTCGGTGGCAGAAATTTAAAGTCTAATCTTGTTATGAGTGAATCCGCAAGTGGTTGTAACGCCATGTGTTATCGATTTTGGATGAAGTCGGTAATAGTACCCGATGCCGATGAAGAAAAATATGGAACAAGAAACAGCAATGCAAGAAGAAATATTAGACTCCGTTCTCTACCCATAAGATCTAGTACTCTGAAGCATGGTGAAGAGACGCATTCCTTGATGAAACATCAATCAGTAAGATAATTTTTTTCTTGCTTCTTGTTACTTATTTTCTAATTTATTCTTTTCAAAGGATACAATGCCTGACATGACAACTCTTTTGATAATTCCTGAGTACCAACTTAAACTTGGAAGTAGAGTCGGAGGGGGAGCGTTCGGTTCAGTTTTCAAAGGAATTTGGTACAAGGGTCCCATTTCTCCCAGCTTCGCAAAAGAGATCGACAATATGTTTGCAAAGGCAATAAGAGAGGAAACCAGCTTCGTTCCACTGGACTCATTGGTTGAAGATAACACATATGCTAGCACCGAACAAGAATACTTGACTGTGGAAGAAGAAGATGAAAAAGTGATAAAATGGGCTCCAAATATTGACCATAGCATACTTCCCGAACATCAGACCACACTAGATCCCCAGTTAATAAATAATGGTGCAGGAGATCCGCAATCAAATCCGATAGTTCAACTTAAAGAATCCAAAGAATCTGTGATTATGCGTCCAGATTCTCTAACTACAGAACCGAGACATTGTGTAAAACACAACGAAGAAGATAGTGAAAGAGATGATCGATGCGTGGAGAATGTTGAAGAGCACGTCGTTGCTATAAAAGTTCTAAATGATGAAACGGATTCATCCACTTCAAAGGCTTTATTGGAGGAGGCTCGAGCAAGTGTCCAAACTATTCTTTTTAATAAGCTACTTTGTCTACAATTTACCGATTCCTTGGTTCGATGGTTTTTTCTTAGATAAAACCAAATTTAAGTACATGGACCAAGCTTGTATTGTCGAGGCTACATTCTGAGTCAATAGTTAAGTTAGATGAGTCATTGGCAATCAAGGAAGGTTTTTATTAAAGGCGTCTGAGGGGCAAAAAATAGGTTTACCTAGAGCTGAGAAGTCTCTAGGACACTTAATCAAATAGTTTCGTTAATCTCATGATAAGCTTCAATTTCGTCCTATATCTACTGATTTGTTGATTCTATTGGAATTCCAGTGCTTTCGATTATTGGTTTATCAGGCAGCCAATCACTTATCGCCAATTTTGGTCTCTACTTTATTAGTGAAAATCATCGTTGAACTTATAAGTCCTCTCCTTTCCTCTTCATTGAGATTGAGTAGCTTTGGCTTTAATAAAGGAGTAATTTAATTACTTTTGATTATGAATACATAATTTTGAAACATACTGTAGAGAATGATATTCAAATAAATGCTTTCAAGAAGCTCCTTATTGTTAAGACAATATGTTATGAAAGGCCAGAAGGGTTTTGAGAACACAAAAAGGTAGAAATATAGACCAGGAAGCAGTAAAATGAACAAATGCCACCACGACCATTGATTTCTCAAGCAGCGTGCGTGTCGGGTTGCGTATAAGAGCCAAAATCAATAACTATAGTTTTTTTCTAGGTTGGTCCACGAAACACCGTACAGGTCAGAGGCAGAATACTTCCCCCAATTTACCTTCATACTGTTGCTTTCCTAACATCGTAATGAAGAAACCGCCAGGGATATTTTGACATTTAATAAACCCCCAAAAGAAGTGATTTATTAACATATTATCATTTTAAGTACATTGAAGCCGTATCCATAGCAGCGCTTATAATTCATTTAGTGTTTTAAAAGAGTAAACAGCAGACTGGAAAATAAGAAGGCAGGCATTAATTCAAGAAGTTGGGTGTTCATGGTGTGAATGATAACTGAGTTGATGGGGAGTAGATAGTGAATCTGTTTGCCTATTGGTTGAAATTGACAGAATGAGAGAAACTGACGTGTTCAAGAGATTACTAATTGACAAAGTAATAAACAAACTATAAATGGTGTACGCTTTTAGGTTATGGCAACAGTAAACCATCCTTGCTGTCTACGTTTATTGGCTCTCTGCATGACAGCACGACCACAGTTGGTTACTTCCTTTTTACCATTAGGATGTCTCCTATCTTACCTCCATAAGCATGGGGGTCCGCACTCAATTGATACCGATGTTATAACTCCAGCGATAATGCTCAACTGGTCTGGACAAATAGCAAGTGGCATGGCCTATTTGGCTTCTCGTGGCATCATTCATCGGGACTTAGCTGCTCGAAATGTGCTTGTGGAAACTCCAGAGCAGGTAAAACAAAAAACATTGAATGAAAAAAATCGAATTTCAGATCAAAATAACAGACTTTGGTTTGGCGAAATGCATTGAGGATACAGGCGGTGAGTATACTGCGAAAGGTGGTTTAATGCCAGTTAAATGGCTTGCGATTGAATGCATCAAAAAGAGGATATTCTCGAGTAAATCAGATGTCTGGGCTTATGGTAAGGAGTACACTTATTCCTATTTTTTTGCTTGTGTGTTCAGAGTCTGCTTGTAGCTTTAATTACCCTTAATTAAGGTGTTACTCTTTGGGAGATTTTCACACTGGGTAGAAGACCGTTTGAAAGGGTTCATACGAGACATCTCATCCATCATCTTAATAAGGGGCTTAGGTTGGCTCAACCACTTACGACAAGTCTTGAATTGTATCAACTATTGACTGACTGTAAGTACAGCCTGCGTTTAGCATACCGGACTTCCATCTTTATTGATGGCATTGCTAATTTTACCATATTTCAGGTTGGCTGGAGGACCCTGAAGCGCGACCCAGTTTCGAAGATTTGTTCCAAAGAATCTGTTACATGCAATTGGAGCCTCAAGCATACCTCAATTTTAGACAAGTAAGTTTGAGTAAAAGAGTTGCCAGCGATAATTCCTATAAAGCAAATTCTTAAACGAGTAATTATTTTTGGGACACTTCCTTTTCTAGAGGGGAAGAAGTCGACTATGGAGTGACTCTGGAATCACAGCGTCTTCATCAGGTTATATTGCAACTACTCTGAATACAGCAATGACCAATACAGAAAATACAAGCATCATCATGAAGTCATTGTCAGAAGCATCAGAACCAAACACCACAGCTGCAAGTCCAAATTACCAAGAGAGAGAAGGAGTTGAAGAGGAAGGAGAGGTGGTATTAGTGAAATTCTTTTTTTCCAATGCCATAAAACAAGTCGCTCTTCAGTATAACATCCTAAGCCAACTAATATATGTTATAATTGTTATTATAGCGTGTGATATTTCTCTGCCTGAAATGCGAATTTAAGTTCTTGCTGAATCATGAGTTCAATTAGCATTGGTCTCGATATGAAGAAATGACTACTTGTCTTTAGCGAAAAATATATGTAATAATTTAGTTTTAGGAAAAAATAAGTATCCTTAATGTGATAAAGGTCCAGAATTCAGATCAACCCCAGTAAATAAAAGAATGTGCCGGTTATTTTCCACCAAATACTGCCAAAGTAAAGATAAGAATATAAAGCGTTGTTGAAATTCACTCGACTGAAAGCAACAGTAATCCCTCGAATAAGGTGGACTTCGCGTTATCCTCCCCTCCCCCCCCCCAAAACGAATGATTTTCCTATCGAATCGCGTTTACTAAAATCTGAAAACCAGTAGGTTGAGTTGAATCTCGAGTATATTGAACAAACGCGATGGAAGCAGAGTATATGGAGGAATGGAAGGAAAGGAGATTTGGGAATTGGAATGGAGAAGAAAGTGTGGCGATTTTGAACAAGTGGAACTGGTTCATGGTAGAAAGCCGATTGGGAAATAAAGATAACAGATTTATCCTTATTTACCCATTAATGAGAGAACGATGAAAATTAGCAGTTTATGAGAAATAAAGATTGTTATTGCTCTGAAAAGGACTATTTATTCTTGATTTATTGCGATTTTGTCAACAGGTTACAAAATTACTGCAATTTTAGATACACTATGCGTCACCTCTGTCTGATTATCGATATGGCATTATGGCTGCTGTTACCTCTTCCCAACGTCTTGAACAAACTCAACTTCTTGAAAGCATCGTCGAAGACGCTGAGGAAACTAACGCCTTCCCTGTGAGAATTCCACCATTGTTATTTAAGCATTTTTATGCAAATGCCGATTAAATGGTGCAAATATCGACAGCAAGGCTACTTTAAGAATCAGGTCAAAGTCTGATGGTATTCTTAAGATTAATGGGATAAGGCAACCCTTCCAAAAAATAGAAGATCGGGTGTTCAATTAAAATATCAGTATTTGAAGGAGAGAGAGACAGACACAGAGAGGGAGAAGAGAACGTAGGCGTTCATTTCCAGCACAATTTGATCCCTCAGATTTCTTACATGGACCCTATTGTTAATGGATTGTAGACATTTCCATAGTTTCTTTTCAGCTATATGGAAAATATTCTTCTATGCAACACCCTTGGCTTATGTATGCCTTGAAGATGAATCATAAAATACCATTTGCATTCTGTCGTGAAGCCTTATCTCATTTTAGTTATTTTTATTCCTGTAGAACGATTATGAGCGACCAAATGCAACTTTTCGAATAACTGACGAACTTCAAGCCGGTGGAGCGTCAACAATCCCCATAGCAGAGGAGGATTATTTGGAACCAAGACATAATTCTGAAAATACTGATAAATATCTGAATTTTTGAGCACTCCTCTTAAGGTGCCCCCCCCCCCCCCCCTCTACAAACACTATCATTCTATGGCACCCCCCCTTCCTCCCTAATATTCTTAAACTACTATAATATAATTAACTTGTAATGTAAATCAAACATCATTGTATGCTAACGCTTTTGGCCATTCCATATTGTAATAATTGTTCAGTGGAATAAAATGTCTAATTATTGTTCATATTTCGATTCATTTTCTTCGAAGATAGAAAGGAGTATTTTGGATTTTTAATCGGTTAATCAACCACAACATGGCGTAAGCCTTAGGGTTGTCGATAATTGCCAAATCCATTGAAGCAAGGTGTTAGCCAGCTTCTACCCTGGGGAGTGATATTGAAACCTAAGAAACGTCAATTCAATCATTCTCCTCTTAACCCAAACAACCTCTTATTTGATCTCTACATCAGTGGCGATTATGGCCCTGTTGGGGAGTTCGTGTACTCAGTAGATGGATCATGTGATAAAATTCTCGAGACAAGAAGACTTAAGTGTGATTGTTTTTTGTAAAGTAGGATTTTCTCTTGACAAACACCTAAGAATGTTAGGAAGTCTAGTTCTGCCGTTATTATCTATCTGCCACTAGATATTGCTAGGCTTTAGTTGATTCAGACCCAGAGGGGAGGGTAACGTGGAATGGAAAATTGAACCAAGTCATTTTAGTAGCATGACTGCATGTTGTCTTCATATTTATTTATTTATTTCAAATGACAGGCGTTTCGATAGTTACCATTAGACCTTTAGCTGACTTTGGGCTTCACAGAGAGGAGGAACATCAAAGTGACAAAAAGTCAAGAGGGGAACAGAGTAATGATTCACCGATTTAAAGGAGATAGGTACAATGGCAGAGAAAAGGTAAGGTAAGTTCTGTGGAAGGGGTTGAATATGACATACGGTCGGGCCATGGTAGTTTGAAGTCAGAAGTCAACTGCCGGTTTATAGTACACGTATACTCATATGTTTGCAAGGGTGCATCTCGAGGAGGTAAGTCTATCGCACACCCCTGTTATCTTCATATTGCTTAGGCTTGAAGAACAAGGAACTGATGACAGTTGATAGGGTTAATGGGAGTTGACTCTCCTGTGAAAAAAAGGTATACACAATTTGTCTACGACCATCGGTTCCGCTGGTTTCCGAACGGATCGACAGCCCATTAGCGCCAAAGGTGCATCGCCTATCCATCCAAATAATTAATCGATAAAAATAAGACACATTCTTGATTGGACCTTTGGATCCTTTATGCAATCCAAATAAAACATATCTCTCAAGTGCTTGAGTGTACGAGAGGTTAAAATTAAAGTACCCAGTGATTAAAAAAGAGCTATGGTGGTTTGCTGAGGAGTAATCGATCTACCTACATTGATTAAAAAATGAAACCTGGCAAATTACAAATTATGGAGTTCGTTTTCAATTTCTTTGACCTAATTAGAATTGAGATTTGTAAAATTCAAGGATTGGTTTCAAGCGAAAACTAGTAATATGGCTAACCATACACAATTATGGCTTCTAAACAGATTGTCTACACAACCAAGCCAGAGCTGGTTAAAAGTTAGGGCCTAATTCATGTTTTACCAAACGCACCGCAGTTGAATATCCTCAGCATCTTAACGAAGTCAAATAAGTGAGGAAAAACAATATTTTAATCGAATAGAGATTACCACCTATATCATAATGAGCATAAAGGTAAGAACACAAAGAAATTTTTAGGAAGATCATAAATTTAATCGCAAACAGTTATTTACACAGAAGAATGGCGTATTCACAGCAAAGCTTAGATCCGTAGTCCCAACTTCCTCTTTTCCTTCTCCTTCTTCTTAAAGGTCTCCAGTTGTCGGCTCTTCCAATCACTTTTCTTCAGCTTGATTGGCCGATTTCCGACATACTTGCCATTCATTTCCCGCATTGCCCGGGTGAAATCGTTTGGGTCGGAGAAGCTTACAAATCCGTACCCTCGAGATTTGCCCGTTCGCTTATCGATGATTACCTTGGCTTTCCGGAAGGAGGGGTATCGAGAGAAGGCTCGGATGAGGGTATCGTCATTGACCTCATTGCCCAGATCTCCACAGAATATCCGAAAGTCATCTGAAGTGTAGAAAGTCGATTAAGAAATGGATGCATTAACAATGACCTTAATCTCCATTTTAAAGATGCTACGCACTTTATATAAATATTTAGGACAGTGGAAAAAAGCCAGTACAGAGAATCGATCTAGCTGTGTGAACAGATTGACAAATTTTTGACTCAGCACGATACTGAGCACAAGCAAAATCCTAATTAAAGACAGTGATTGTAATGATAAGGCGTAATGGCAAAAAATTATTAGACAAATTGTAAGACATGCTTTACAACAGAAAGATGTCGATGTATAATTGAAATATTTTGTGAAAGTACTCAAGCTCAGCTATACACCCAACGACGACCACTTTGCCACAGAGAGAAAATTTATGCACTGCACCAATAACACGTAAATCGGTCATTAGCAGTAAATATGAAAACTGAAATAAAAATATAGGAAAGAAAGCGAATTCAAAAATCAAATGCTTGCATAAACTGTCTACTTACAACAAGTAAAATTTCTGAAAATGAATAAACCATATTAGTAAATAACCTACTAGGATCCCAATCAGCAAGTGTCGGATCTTCCCAAACCATTCCTGCAGCAATTCGTTTATAAACCTTTTTCTGGAAGGGATAGAGTTCTTCCGCGTAGCTAGACTTGGAACGACATTTCGCCTGATCGATTGCAGATAAGCGAGAAGAGGAAGCTAACTGTGTAGGTAGGAGGCTTTGTGGAACAATGACGGTCTTAGCAGGAACCGAGGGGACAACTTTAGGTGTCGTCGTTGAAGTTACAGCTGTGGATGCTGAATTTGTGTCAGGAGTAGTGGTCGTGGCAGATGAAACAGAAGTAGCCACGGCTGTGGAGTGATTATAAGTGACACCAGCTGCCGCAGCCAAAAGAGCTCGAGTGACATCATCATCAACCTCGATGTTGTCATCTGCGGTGGCCAACTTTGCGGCAGCTTCCGCCTCTTTGTTTGCCTTCACTGCGGCCGCAAGTTGTGATGGGGCTGCAACTTGAGGTGGAGCACTAATAACACTAGGTTGGGCTTGAATAATCGGTGTGGTAGAAATTGTAGTAGCTACTTGAGGAGGAACCATATAATTTGGAGTCATGCCATACGATGGTGGCATGTAGATACCATTGGCATTAGCAAAATCTAGAAGGAAAATAAGCCAGGCTTATCAAGCGACAATATTTACACGAATAAACAGAAAACAAGCTTACACGGGTTAGTTCCCATTAAGGAAGGAGAAGCGAACTGAGATCCGGGAACATAAGGATTGGGATAAGTTCCAGGTTGAGAATATTGATAAGTTGTAGTAGGAAAAGAAGCGGTTGAAGGCTGAGAACTAATCTCCGTCTCAAATCTACAAAACAGACAAGCAGCACATAGAAAACTCCGATAGGAAACATAAATGAGCAATTAACTGAAAATAATACCGTTTCATTTCCTCTTCCATCTGTTGATGCTTCAAATCGTTAGAATCCATCGCTACCGCTAACAGTGGAACAATACGCCTAATCCGCTTGGAAAGAATGGCGTGGTTGACCTGTTAAAAGAACCATAACTAAAATTATTTAACTCCGTATTTTGCAAAATTATTCTTTAATATTACCTTATTATCTTTAAATAAACTGTAAATGCAAAACTACACATCTTATTAAAAAATGTCTACCATTATAATAAGGCCCGAACTCTTATTACATTCATAATTCGATATAGATAAAAGTTTCGAAGCAAGAGATTTGCAAGACCTAGATATAACTATATATTTTTTATTCACTTACTTTCGATTTTTCTTCCACAAAAAAAGGTTTATATATTTCCTTCTTTTCTTACTTGTAAAAGCCAGTTATTCATTATGCCATTGTGTTTAAGAATACGATTTTGGTCATTAGGTTGGATTTGGGATGTGCTTTTATTAAGAAGTGCTTTGTGTTATGTATTAAGTTGTTATTTAACTAATATTTCGGGATTGACAATTTCGATGATAAAATTTATTTTACTTATTTACTTATAGCAATTACCCTTGGAAATCAAAGTCAAAAATTAGTTATCGATTCATATAACTAATTAAGTTAGATAAAAATATCTTATTTTGAAACATTGTGTCTAATTACAGTCCGTTATACCGTCAACAATGACTTTCTGATGATATTGAAACGCGACATTTTTATCCTTAAAGGAATGCCTGATAATAGTACGCAGAGAAATACTAACTTATATGCATGTTTAAGAATGCGTTCTTCACATTTAAACTTATTGAGAAGAATCAACCGATAAAGTTCCGTTGGTTAGGGAGCGGTTACTCAGTGTGGGCATCTATGAAGGAGAAAGATGGCTCCATTCGAAAAGTTGGTCACAATAAGTTAAACAATTTCTATCTTCAATAAAATTAAAATCATAAAACTCGAACGTAGCATATTACAAAAAATATTTCAACTCAACTTTTATTTTGAGCCTTTTAATTATTCTTTCGCATATTCTTTGACATAATGAAATTTAAATGTTCATGTGGAACGCACGCAGATCCCAAGGTAGCGTATTCCATGTGGTACGTTTGCCTCCTCTTTTGCTTTACGGTAGCTTTCTAGTTCTGGGAATCTTTGTAAACATAGGAGAATTCGTCATAAAGATTTCTTTGTTTAGTTAAGGCTTATTAGTGAAGCAATCCGCTACATTCATAAAATTGCGGCTATAACTTTATTTATACTATCTACTCAAATATTTTCTAATATATATGTAATTATTTCACAATATATACCTTTAGACATTTATTGGTCGTCATAGTAATATATTGTTAAACAATTGACGAAGATTATTATATAAAACCCGGCAACGCGGAGGTCATGCTACTGATTGTCATTGGCACGCAGACAGTGATGAATATTCAAAGCTACTACTCAAGTGGAGGGTTGGTAAAATACGAGTTTCCCACTAAAGGAAAATCAAAGTAGTCCATCGGTGCTAATAACAATTCCATCTAGGATCTAGGGAAGATAAATATAAATTAAATATGTTTTAAATAACAATTGCTTATTTTGTAAATTTATTCACATTGATAGTAGTAATAGCACCACAGTTAATATCAATATGAACTTAGATATTTAACCCCTGTCATGGTCCCTCACAAACATTTCACATTTATTTCATTTATTATACCAAGCTATTTCGGACATGATCGAATACCTGCCTTCTTTAAAGGTATCAGTTAAAAATCGACTTATTCTATCTATTGAAGATAACGTGAATTTCACATACTTGAAATATCTTTCGAGGTCTTCTGTACTTTCTGATAAAATACTCTGTCTAATCAATAGCTTCTTACCTCATTTTCAGTCGTGAACTCTAGCGATATGTGGTGAATATGTTTAGCTAAAATATCCATCCAAACGAAAGGGAAAACTTTATTTTGCATCGCTTCCTAATTGCAGATTATCTATATATAAAGCGTTATATAACCGTAGTATTTCTCATTATATTTAACAAGAGGAAAATAATTAGTAATCTGCTAAAGAACCATGAGTTATTTATGTTAAACAAAGGTGTGATAGACCTACCTCCACGTGGTGCACCCAGGGCAACAAAAACTTATAAACTGGCAGTTGACTTCTGACTTCTAACTATCATGGCCTATTGCAAGTCATATTCGACCCTAACCACAATACTCATCATACCCTTTTTGAGCATTATAGACTGTCATTGTCAAGATAATTTAGACACTATGATACCTAATCCCTCCTCTTTTAATTTCAAGTTGGGATACAAATATTAATAGAAATTGATTACAATACCAAGTGGAAGGAATTTATGTAAACTTATTTCCTCTGTGACATTCGCCCTTTAACTTTAAAATTCATTTCATTTTTTGTAGTAATAAATGTGGTAAAATATTTACATTGGATATACACTTTATTTGCGATTAAATTCAGATCAAGTTATTTATTTACCAATAAATTAATTTTTCAAGAAGTGTATATAGGCGCATATTTTCCAAATGAAACAAAGTGATACTTCTTGCTTAAATCTTAACTATCATTCATATATGTTCTATTGAAAAATTCGTTTGTTTATGCATTTACTGCCCTTGTACAACACGGGCTATTTTGATAAACTCTGTTTTCCTGTACCTGTCCTTATGTTGGCTTCGCGCAATTTCCTTCGCTTATCTAATGCTAATGTGCTAAATCGAGGAATTTCTTCGTGGCAACTTACATTTGATAATCATGGGGAACCTCTTGATGTGCTTTATAAGCGGGATGTTGGTCTTGCTTCTCCAAAAGAGAAGGAGGTGTTGGTCAACTTTCGTGCATCTCCTATAAATCCATCCGATATAAATGCAGTTCAAGGAATATATCCAGTAAAGCCAACTCTTCCTGGAGTTGGTGGTAATGAGGGAGCTGGTTATGTAAGCTAGATAAGAAGGAAACATTTTCAAGGTTTTAGAATGTGGCCCTGGTGTCTCAAAGTTAAAACCAGGAGATTTAATAATTCCAGCCAAACCTGCCTTAGGGACATGGCGCAATATGGCCCTACTTAATGAATCCGATTTACTTCCTTTGAACCCTAAACTCAGTATCGAACAAGCATCAGTAATCAACGTGAATCCTTCTACCGCTTATTTGATGCTTAATAATTACGTCGATTTAAAACCTGGAGATTGTGTTATTCAAAATGGAGCTACAAGCACTTCAGGAATTTATTTGATGCAGATTTGCAAGTCAATGGGAGTGAAATCAGGTAAGGTGACTCTTGCTTGATTTTACTTTAGTTAATATTTTTCGTCCTAGGGATACAACAGAAAAGACTGAAGCAACTAGACAAGCTCTTTTGGATTACGGTGCTACCCTCGCGGTAACTGAAGAAGAGTTAAAGGAGCGTAGTGACCTTTCGAAGTTTGGTCCAATTCGAATAGGCTATGACTGTGTGGGTGGAAAGGCTGCTCTGACAATAATGAAATATCTCGAACCATCGGGCACTTTTGTAAACTACGGTGGGATGTCTCGTCAACCTATCCCTGTTCCTGTAAAATATCTTATCTTTAAGGATCTCCATATTCGTGGATTTTGGCTTTCGGGTCGAGAGAATAAGCCTGATAACGTGGAGAAAAGGCTAAAAATGATTGATCAGATTGCTGAATGGATGATTGATGGGAAAATCAAGGTAGCTCCATTTGAATTGGTTCCCCATACAGAATGGAAATCTGCTATATCGCGTAGTGTGTTTAAGAATGAAACGCCGAGGAACTTACCTTGCAAATATATTCTTTCATTTCCTGAGGCTCACTGAACTGTTTTTTAGAGTTAATCAGCGTTTAATAAATTTGGCTAACACCTTTTGGCGTTGATGCACCTCTTGATTTTTTACAAATCTGTGTTATTAGTTCCCTAATGGGAAGAATTGAAAGCTTGTCATAGAGAATTTGGAAATGACTACCGTTAAACGTTTTCAAAGCAAAGCGCTAGTCAGGTTTGTATTTAAAAACAGGAAAATTGTGAATTTTTAGTTAAATTACGGAAGTGGTTGGAAGATATAACCGTTGTTCTCCGTGCCCCCTAGTTTCCAGTTCTATTAGTTGTTTGCAAGAACATTGTTGGTTGTTTTGTCTTTAACTGCTGAAATCTCTCGGGGCTGGTTTTTAATTATGTTTCTTATCTTCGGCACCAACACTTCAACTTATGCGCCTCCTTTACTTGAGGGTTATTCTATCAGCGAGTAAATATAAGGATAAACAAAGGCAAAAGCTGGATGAACACACAAGCCAAGAGAAGTCCGAGATGAAGGCGAAGTGGTGTTTACTTTAATACCATTTAGACGAGAGATTGGAACATTAGTGTCGCAAATTAAACAGGAGTATGATTAGGTATCAATATTTAAAGGTATGTAGTGGATTACTACTAAGTTATGTATATTGTTTTGTAGACTTGTAGCGGATTGCTCCCTAAGTAAAGCCTGACCTGGTTAAAGACTTGTAGCGGATTGCTACCTTAGTAAAGCCAGACCGGTTGAGAATTGTAACGGATTGCTACCTTAGTAAAGCCTGACCGGATTGCATTGTAGCGGATTGCTACGCTAGTAAAGCCTGACCGAAGAAATCTCTATGGCAGATTCTTCAACATCTAGCTAGACTCGCAGAACCAGCTAAGCTATAGCCCAGCCATGAAAGGAAACAGAAGTGTAGCACGGAGCACGTCTATTCAGGACGTATATTGCGGATCAAGTTTACACGCAGGGAGCTACTCATGATCAGAATGGGGAATTAGGTTAAATAGGGGATTAGGTTAAACAGAGGTTGATGATTGGTCATTGTTTGTACGGTCCCTAAACACATAGTTGAGCCGCACCTCCCAATCCTGGCGAGCAGACATGCAAGCATAAGATGACGCACAACGCGATAACGTGTCCCACAGATAAGTAACTGATGAATATCTGGGATACATACACGAAAGTTAGGAATCAAACTGGGAATTTAGAAGCTACTTTGTAGCGATTAGGTTTTACAAAGGGAAAGAAGTTTATCTGTGCACAACTGACACCATCCTGTGTGTTTCGCAGTAATTATTAGCCACAAAGATAGTAAATTTAGGTTTAAATATTCATATCTGTTAAGCACTCCTTCTCTGAATTAAATCGTGTCATTATTGTAAAATATTCATTTAGATATATTATAGTAAATGGTTGAAAATTAGGCCATGAGCATTCAATATTCCATAATAAATATAAGCAGAATGAAATAGTTCACCCAAAATTATTTGAAGTGCATTTATACCAACAAGGTAGACTTCTTAGCGGTTGAGAGAAAATTAATTCATAGAAATCAAAAAAGTAAATGTGTTTAATTCAAAATAACCACGTTAATTTTGGATTATGCCTGGACAAATATTTTGAAAGAATTTGTTTTATACAGTCAGTAATATTCCCTTGACTGGCATTTGCACATGTAAATGTGATATTAGGTCAATATGTCGATGTTTAATCGACTGTCTTTGCTGTATTTGCGTTAGATTCTAGAAAATGAGTTCAAAAGGGCATTCCTCATGGCGTATTGCTTATGACAAACTTGGGGAACCCCTTGAAGTACTCAAAGAACAAAACGTGAAACTCGATTCATTGAAGGAAAATGAAGTTTTGGTTAATTTTCGTGCATCTCCAATCAATCCTTCCGACTTAACGGTTATAAAAGGGTTATATCCAGTGAAACATAATTTTCCCGATATTGGTGGCAATGAAGGGGCTGGATGTGTAAGACATTTCTGTCAAACTAATTTCAAAGGTCTTAGAATGTGGACCCGGTGTTACAAAGTTAAAGCCCGGAGACCTAGTAATTCCTGCTGAATATGGAATAGGAACATGGCGTAATCTTGGCATTTGTAACGAATCGGAGTTGATTCGTTTGAATCCTAAACTCAGCTTAGAACAAGCCTGTGTAATCGACGTGAATCCATGCACGGCGTATTTACTTTTGAAGAAATTCGTCGAGTTAAAACCTGGAGATTGTGTGATACAGAATGGGGCGACTAGTACTTCTGCTATTTATCTAATGCAGATGTGCAAGCTTATGGGTGTGAACTCAAGTAACTTGTTGAAACTCGTATAACTATGCTGTCTTTAGTTAATCTATTTAGGGCAAGGGATACCCCAGAAAAGACAGAAGCTACACGTCGAGCTCTGATGGAATTCGGCGCCACCCTGGCAGTAACAGAAGAGGAATTGAAAGGAATGAAGGACCTATCAAAATACGGTCCAATATGTATTGGATACGATTGTCTAGGTGGAGAGGCCGCTTTAACGATTTTGGACCACCTTAAACCATCTGGAACGTTTGTGAACAATGGAGGAATGCTGGGCAAGCCAATTCCAGTTCACATCAAGTATCTCATCTTTAAGGACATTCAAATGCGCGGTTTCTGGCTTTCTATGACTATGGAAAAACGCATGGAGATGCTTAACGAGATATCGTCGTGGATGATTGAGGGCAAAATCAGACCGGCTCCAGCTGAAATGATTCCTTTCACTGAATGGAAATCGGCAATCTCTAAGTCGATCTTTCGAAATGGCGCACCAAACTATTTGCCGTGCAAATACATTCT